ATAACATGTTAGTTTTATAATTTAATATGTTAGTTAGTAAATTAACTAACTATTTTTGATAATTATACAATATTTTATTATGATGTATTCACATAAGGGTTCCAGGCTAGATATTTGAGGTCCAGTAGCACCAAGATATCCTAAATTCTTCCATGTGGTAGCTTTTTTTATAATTTTATATGTTAGTTTGTAAATTAAATAATTAATTTTTATAATTATATATTCACATATGGGTTCCAGGCTCGATATTTGGAGCCTAGTAGCACCAATTTATTCTATGTGTTAGTTTTATTATTTTACATATTAGTTTTATAATTTTATATGTTTGTTTATAAATTAAATAATTAATTTTTATAATTATATATTCACATATGGGTTCCAGGCTCGATATTTGGAGCCTAGTAGCACCAATTTATTCTATGTGTTAGTTTTATTATTTTACATATTAGTTTTATAATTTTATATGTTTGTTTATAAATTAAATAATTAATTTTTATAATTATATAATATTTAATTATTAAAAATTCATATATGAGTTCCAGGGTCAATATTTACGGCTCAGTAGCACCAAGATATCCTAAATTTTTCTATGTGTTAGTTTTATTATAATTTTATATGTTAGTTTATAAATTAAATAATTAATTTTTATAATTAAATATTCACATATGGATTCCAGGCTCGATATTTGCAGCTCAATAGTACCAAGATATCATAAATTCTTTCATGTGTTAGTTTTATTATAATTTTATATGTTAGTTTATAAATTAAATAATTAATTTTTATAATTAAATATTCACATATGGGTTCCAGGCTCAATATTTGGAGCCCAGTAGCACCAATTTATTCTATGTGTTAGTTTTATTATTTTACATATTAGTTTTATAATTTTATATATTTGTTTGTATATTTAAATAATTAATTTTTATAACTATACAATATTTAATTATTAAAGATTCATATATGGGTTTCTGGCTCGATATTTGCGGCCCAATAGCACCAAATATATGTTGACTATAATTGGTTAGTTTGTGTTTGATCTATCAGTTATTTTGACTTATTTTTGAGGATAAGAGATAATTAAACTACAGGAAAACGACGTTAAAAGGCACTACATTATACTACGCTTAAAGGCACTACATTTTACTATGTTAAAAGGCATTACATTTTACTACCCTAAAAGGCATTTCGATTTACTAGTCTTTAAGCAAAAAAATAATTTAAACCAGATAAAATACAACAAATATATTTTAATCATAAAAATACATATAAAACAGTAATAGTAATTTATTAATATTTTTATTAACAAATAATAATAATTTCACAATTTTTACATATTTTTTTATAACATTAATATCTTAGTCCGGATAAAAATAACATACTAATTTAATCGCAAAAAAAAAAACACAAAACAACATACAACACATTCAAAACAACTAATATGCATTATTTATACGAGTTTGAACATAAACTAAATCGGAATACCTCAAATTATGTTTTTCGAAAAGTTGAAGATTTAAAAATTTGACTCCGAAACAAGCAACCCGCAATAATAGAAGCCTTGGCTAGGATGTGGGACCAACAATATTTACTTTTTACGGGACGGGTGGGGTCCACACGAGCTTTTTTGGACGTTTATTGAGGGGGGACCGTTGTTTTTTAAAAAAAAAAAAGGAAGGGGAAGGGGATGGGAATCTGGGCAGAAACGTGGGGAAAAGGGAAGGGTTCTGTAATTTATGTATATAAAATGTGGTTCATTACCGCGTTTATATAAAGCGCGGTCATGGACCGTGTTTTATATAGCAATCTTATCAGCTTTATATAAAACACGGTATGTTAGATCGTTTTATATAAAACGTGGTTCATAATCGCGTTTTACATAAAAATATAATTTTTTTTAACACTTAAAAAAATATTTTGAATCCAAAGGAACCACATTTAGAGTCCGGACTCTTGAAGTTACCGGGTTTTATACCTTTAAATCTCTTTTTCTGTTGAAATGTCTTCCCTCTTGGAACTGACTTGCTTCATGGAATTGAACTATCAAAAGTCAAATTGCGGCTTTAAATTGCGCGCACTTAACGTGACTTTTTTGTATACTCGGAATTTTCAGCGTCAACCCTTTACCCGTTTGATTGGAAGTTGGAACAAGCTACATAGCATATTTAATTTCTTCATTCGAAGCAAAAAAAAAAAATGAAATGTTCAAATTATGAGTGTCAAACCTCCTAATTTCTGTCTCAATATGTATATTTATATTTTTAAAATTTTTTTTCAAATGAAATTAACGTAATTAGAAACTTTTATTTAAAGAACTACATGAAAACATTGTGATCAAGGAAAAAAAGGTTAAGTTTAAGATACTAATAATGTCTGGTAAAGTAAACGAAATGAATAATATATATTACACGACATGATCAACTTTAACTACTTTAAAATTCTTTTAATTTTTTAGGCGCATCAATCTCCTCTCTCTTTTTTTTTTTTTTTTTTTTTTTTGGAAAAATTGCACATACGCTCTATTTAGTTGCCCCCATTTAACTTATACCTTTTTTTAAAATTTTTTTTAACTTGTATCCATTTTTTAAACAACTTCAGTCATCTTTCTCCCCCTCCTCCTTCTCCTCCTTCGTCTTCCTCTTCTTCTTCTTCTTCTTCTTCTTCTTCTTCTTCTTCTGTTGCTGCTGCTGCTGCTGCTGCTATTGATGCTGCTATGAAATTTCAGTTCATGGGATGATTGTCATAAGTATGTTTATCAGATTACTTAAAAATAAATTATAAATAATTACGTAACTTAGTAGACAATAATTTATGAATATTTTCACGTACGAGAAGTTTAAGGTCACACTTAGTGATTCTTTTCATGATAATTCTGTTCTTTTCACGTTTATTTATTTCCAAAATTTATGATTTAGATACTGTGGGCAATTTGATTATTTATCTAGTATGTTAGAAAGCTTTTTAAAAAATATCAGCTTATATAGTGCTGAAGTTTTTACAAATGAACTAAATAAACTTCAGTATCTTCTGCTGAAGTTTTTGGAAAAGCTTTATGACAAAACTAATGAATCCAAGACAAAAAAACTTCAACTTATTTAATGCTGAAGTTTTTACAAATGAAACTAAATAACTTCAGCATCTTCTGCTGAAGATTTTGAAAAAGATTATTCAGGACAAAAAAAAATTCAGCTTATTTAGTGCTGAAGTTTTTATAAATGAACTAAATAACTTCAGCATCTTCTGCTGAAGTTTCTGAAAAAGCTTAATGATAAAAATAATGAATCCAGGACAAAAAAACTTCAGCTTATTTAGTACAATTACAAACAAAAACTTCAGCTACTATGCTTAAGTTCAGCAATTACAAACAAAAACTTCAGCAAATAGAGAACAAAACGTCAGCTACTATGCTTAAGTTCAGCAATTACAAACAAAAACTTCAACAAATAGAGAACAAAACTTCAGCTACTATGCTTAAGTTCAACAATTACAAACAAAAACTTCAACACACTTGGTTCAGCACACTTGTTACTTCAGGCCCGTCTACTAGATGCTGAAGTTTTGTGTGATTGTCTTTGCTACTTCAGCCCCGTATGCTGAAGTTACGCGAAAAAGTGGGTACGCTTGCAAATTTTTTTTGTAAAGCAGACATAAGTTAAAACGTGACCCAAAAAGCGGGTATAGATAAAAATGCCCATTTTTTTCTTTAAAATAATTTCTATGTTGTTGTATTTACTTTCTTTGTTTTTTTTTTTTTTTACTTTTATCCTAACGCCATTATTTCTCCATGTTTTGTAGAGTGCTAGTTTAAGTTTTGCGGTGATTTGTTTTAGTTTCTAAGAAACATCATTATATTTCCAACAAGTAACAGCTTGTTTGGATAGTTGTTACCTACAATATTGTTACTTTAAATATGATATTTGTGTTAATTGTTATCTAAATTTTATTGTATCATATTGTTAAATCCATCGTTACGTAACAACGAAATGTATCACTTTCTGCAACGGCCCATTTGATGTGGTCGCATCATTACCTTATCTTTTTCTCTCATCTCACCCTTTATTATTATAAAATAATTTTATTTTATCATTTATCCTACCTTTTTATATAATAATTTTACCCTGTATCATAATATTTCTTTAAAATATTACATGTTTATTCTTCATATTGTTGGTGCGTGATATCATGAAACAACGACAAACGACATAATTTATCCAAATATTATATTTATCAAACTATACAATACAATACAATACGATATGAAATGACATGCAATAACCATCCAAACAAGCTGTAAAGCTAGCTGTTGTTCTTCTTTTGCACCCAATCCGTGTCTTTAAATTGTGATTACATCAAATTTTATTTGTACGTACCATAATTTAGCGGTCAATTTTGATCCCTAAAACAAAACTTATTTAATCCGTCTAAATTTTAACAGGTTAGGTAGGGGATAGTTTCGATCAAATCGCACAAATACAAATTGTTGGGTCAACTTGAGATACGTTAATTGCCAAAATCAAGCCGTAAATGAGCTCTGTCAAGGGAATATAGAGAAAGAAAAACACAATTAAATAGTTGATAGTAGTATTTTTATTTTTATTTTAGAATACAAGCCAATTGTATAGCAATTAATTTCTGAGTAAGTTAAACGGCGACTCATTCATTGATGTAATCTACAACTATTATACAAATCTGATCTAAAGTTAGTGTTAAACGGCGACTCATTCATTGATGTAATCTACAACTATTATACAAATCTGATCTAAAGTTAGTGTTAAACGGCGACTCATTCATTGATGTAATCTACAACTATTATACAAATCTGATCTAAAATTAGTTAATTCGAAATAAAATCTTGAAAGGATTCTTAGAATCTAATCAATAAAATGGTAGGTATATACTCACCAGCTAAGCAAAATCAAATACAATCATTAAGAAAATCTTGCATCATAATTTATGCAAAAATCAAATTAAAATACTTACATTTAAACAACCACTCTCCAGTGTCAACTTAAATAATGGAAAGTCATCTTGATCAACCATCAATTTTCCTTTATATAATCTTCAAAATAATTATGTACAAAAGGAGGATATTCTTCAATCAATTATCATACAATTTTGTAATCGATATTTGATACTAAATTATATTTACGGATTTACCCCCTTCAAATTGAACGGTCAACGTCTATGCGTCAACGTTAACGGCGCCCTCGAGTTCCGTCAACGTTAACGGCGCCCTCGAGTTCCGTCACCGTTTGCACCGCCGTGTTCACGTTCCTCATGTCACCAACCGTTAAAACTCCGGCAACTTCATCTCTTACGTAAACTTTCTCGACGCCGTTACCACTGATTCCCACCGCCTTTCCATTACCCCACTCGGCACATATCGCCGGCGACTGACGCCTCATTCTCGTGTCATAAGCATCTAAAACGACGCCGTTTTTTCCATCTCTCACTTCTGACGATAAAATCATAAAATCGCTTCTATCAAAAGAATCATTAAAGTCTAAACCTAACGTTAAACTATCCCACAACTTTACGACACTTTTCCCGGCTGCAAACTCCGTTAAGGGGAACCGTTCGTAGCTGCTCCGTCGCCGTCTGAGTCTTAAATTACTTTTTTGGCCTTGCTCTTTGAAGTAGAAACTCGAACCTGCAACTGAAAAATCTTCATCCACTGGTGTTAACTCTTCATCGTTTGATGAAACCGATGAGCATTCATCGTCGTCTTCATCATCGGAAAAGTCGAAGTCTTCGCTGAGATACTGAAGAAGAGGTTCAGCAGAAGGTTTTATTTTACGAACGTAAATGAATAGAAGCTTGCCTTTTCTTATTAAGCTGCTGAAAGAAGCAACAATGGCAAGAACTAGAGCACCCCATTTGCAGAAACTGTACACTTGGGGAACCTTTTCGATAGCCGAAAGAGAAAAAAATTGGGAAATTAAAGATGGGTTTTGAAGAAATTTTACATCAGCTTCAAAATTGCTGATCATACTGACGGAGAAAGGTATAAAGAAACTGTATGATAAAATGCTTGAAAGAAAACTGGGATAGAAAAAAGGAGATTGATTATACAGAAACTTTTGATAAAATGCTCGACAGAAAACTAGAACAGAAAAAGGAGATTGGTTTGCAAAAGTGAAAGGGGTGGGCCATATATATAGTGGAGAATTGGGACCCTGGTAGTAATTAGAAGAAATAAAATAGGACGTTAGGTTTTGTTAAAAATGACGTGGAGGATGATAACTGGATGAAGAAGTGACATTTGGCGGGCCACGTGAGAAAGAGCATGAACTTTAGGAAGACAAGAAATATTGGATTCCGAAACCAAAATGTGGTTCTTTTGGACAAATAGCACCTTAATAGATGTAAAAAAGAAAAATAATATTTTTATATATAACGCCCAAATACTGGGCGCTATACATTAACGGCACAAAAGCTGACACTAACAGGTATAACGCTCAAATACCCGGCGCTATATATGTATAGCGTCCAGTATTTGGGCGCTATATATCTTTTTCTTGGCCCCACCAATAATTCTTCACTTCAATAATTCAAAAGCGTATAGTGCCCACTTTTTGGGTGCTATATATATATAAAAAAAATCCGGCTAGTCATTTCCTATATAAAAAGATTAAGATTGTATAGAAATTCATTCAAAAGGTGTATAACATAGAAATTTTCCGGTTAGCCATTTCCATACTTTTGTTGAAACGTTTATTGTTGTTAAATTCTCCAGCATTTTTTCATTATGTCTGAAAAGCGTAGAATAAGAGTTCCATTATATTGGGGGGAGGGGGTGAGGTTGTGATGGAGAATAACTCAGTGGGCTACAGTTTGCCTGCTCAGTGTCATGTTAAATTGCCACTTATAATGGAGTACGATAAATTGATATCGTTGTTATGCGAAAAAATGAGTGTGAGGAAACGTTCAGTGATACTTAAAGTAACCGAAAGATATCTGTATTCCGTCACTCCGCAAGTGGTTGCTTTTTACTCGGAGTTTAACATCGACGATGATGAAACTTTGAGTGATTTTCTGAGGACTCCGGATGAATGTCGGGAATTTCTTGTAATCACAATGTTGGAGATGTACGTGAAGGTTGAAGACGTTCCAAAAAACGAGGTTGTGCGTAGTAGATATAACCCCCAGTCATCGGGTGGTTATTCTGGAGCAGTTTTTGCCGGACAGGTTCCGGATGAAAGATTTTTCCTTGATTTAAACTTAACACCGCCGGCGAATGAGCAGCGAGAAAATAATTTATACTCTGCTTTCCATAATTCACAAGACAAGTGGTAAACTTCAATTTTTATTTGTGTTAATAATGTATATTTTTGGTTTATTGAATTTGTATTAACGCTCATATATTTAATAGGGGGTACCAGCCGGATATGAATTTTATAAGTGGCCCATCTGGTAGTCATCACCTAAGTGAAAACGTCCATCATGGAATTTCATCACATTACTACTTGTAAGTGAAGTGATATAGCCATATGGAAAGCATTTATTAATTCAGTAGCTTATATTTTTGTTGGTTGTGCAGTGAAAACGAGCAAGTTGAACCAGCTGTACTCGCTTAATTGCCCGAAAACGACATATTACATTGGGATTTGGCAGATGCACAGAGTGAGGAACAGAACAGTGATTACGATAATAATGCCGATGAATCCGGAGACGAGACACCCTTTCCTCGTGAGGATGGTGATGCGCAGGATGAGGAGGAAGGACCTGGTTTGAAGAGAGACCCCCTAGACGAAGAGTGTACGAGTCCGAAGTGCCGTTTCATTCAAGGGAGATTCCTTACATTGATAACTTGCCAACCGTGCCGGATGTGGAAGCTCTGACAAGGGATTTTGATGAAATCCGGGCAGCAATGTGGGATGAGTATGGACCAACGGTGCTGCAAGGGGGATGTTTTTTTCTGATAAAGCGCGCGTAAGCAAGGCTTGTAAAATGCACAACGTAAAAGAGTGTCGTGAGATGCAGGTATGAGAGTCAAGTCCGATGGTATACAAGGTTGTTTGCCGCAGGTGGTTTTGGCCATGTAATTGGATGTTGCATGCGACCAAGAAGAAGACAGTGTCACACCTCCTTTTTCCGCGCCCGCGGGGGCGTAGGAGTTTTTCCAATTAAAGGACAGTCGAAACGGGATTTATTTATTTATTTTAGAGTCGCCACTTGGGAGGTTTAGGGTGTCCCAAGTCACCAATTTTAATCCCGAATCGAGGAAAAGAATGACTCTGTATTACAGTCCGCGAACCAGAAATCCGGATAAGGAATTCTGTTAACCCGGGAGAAGGTGTTAGGCATTCCCGAATTCCGTGGTTCTAGCACGGTCGCTCAACTGTTATATTTGGCTTGATTATCTGATTTTATACGTATTATAAACTTATGTGAAAGTTTTATCCTTTGGTCGCTTTTATTATTATATTTTTTAAAGAATGTGAACATCGTTTACATTTATGTCTTTGGATTGGGTCACATAAAATGCATCCACGATCCGGAACGTATTTTTATTCAATGT